CCTTCAAAATATATTCTTTAAAAAAATCCACGTCTCCAAGAACCTTCAAAAAATATTCTTTAAAAATCCACGTTTCCAAGAACCTTCAAAAAATATTCTTTAAAAAATCCACGTCTCCAAGAACTTTCAAAAAATATTCTTTAAAAAATCCACATCTCAAAGATTCTTAATTTATTTTTGTAAAAACCACGTCTCCAAGAACGTTCAAAAAATATTCTTAAAAAAATCCACGTGTCGAAGATTCTTATTTTTTTTGTAAAAACCATGTCTCAAAGAACCTTCAAAAAATATTCTTAAAAAAATCCACCTTTCGAAGAATTTTCAAAAAATATTCTTAAAAAAAATCCACGTACGGAAGAATCTTCAAAAAATATTCTTTAAAAAAATCCACATATCGAAGAAACTTCAAAAAATTTTATTTCAAAAATCCACGTAACGAAGAATCTTCAAAAAATATTCTTAAAAAAATCCACATTTCGAAGAATCTTCAAAAATATTCTTCAACAAATCCACGCACCGAAGAATCTTTAAAAAAATATTCTTAAAAAAAATTCACGTACCGGAGAATCTTCAAAAAATATTCTTAAAAAAATCCACGTCTCGAAGATTCTTTTTTTTTTTTAAACCGCGTCTCGAAGATTCGTTTTTTTTTTTTGTAAAAACCACGTCTTGGTGTCTCTTCAAAAAATATTATTTAGAAAATCCACGTCACGAAGGCTCTCAAAAGATATTCTTTAAAAAATCCAAGTGTCGGAGACTCTTTAAAAAATATTTTTTAAAAATCCACGTGTCGACAACTCTTCAATCCAAATCCACGTGTCGAAAACACATCTCGGAGATTTTCCAAAAATATTCTTTAAAAAATCCACGTTTAGAAAACTCTTCAAAAAATATTCTGTAAAAAATTCTCGTCTCAAAGTCTCTTCAGAAATAAAATCCACACTTATTTTCTTACTCTTATTTTTTTATAAAAACCACGTCTTGAAGGCTCTTCAAAAAGTATTCTTAAAAAAAGTCTCTTCAAAAAATATAAAAATAAAAAAAAAACAGTAAAAAAGTTTTAATCGGTTCTGCCGACAGACGTATACCCTCAGCCAATGTTCGATTATTTAAATATTTTTTGACTTCTGTTATGATTATTCAAACTGTTGACCCTCTATTGAGTTGGTTCTGAAGGAATGGACCAATATCGTCCATTTCGTATCGGACCTAAATTAAAACGATATAAATATTGCGACGTGTCAGGTTTGGACTATCATCATTTAACATGACATAAGTGATAATTTTAAGAAAATATTAAAATGAGCTTCAAGTACCAGATATAGTCATTCATCGAGTACAGATAAAAATATTGGTTTAGGCAAAATTACAAGAAAATCGAACATTTTTATCCAATTTTATGAGAAATCATAAATTCCATATTCATCTCAGGTTTCTGATTGAGAGAAATATTTAGATATGGCAAGTTGTAACGAATCGCTGATCTGTTTCGCAAGTTATGACTTCTAAAAGCATTTAAAATTTTGATATTTTGTGGGTGAGGTGATCTTTTCTTAGAACAAATGTTTGTATGTGTGAAAGAGAGTTGGATGCATATTTCGCTTTCTTTGAGCGTTTTGTTATTCGAAATTTTGAACCCTATGTGGGGGAGGTCCCATAAGAAATGACCCTATCTCTACCATCTTTATGACAGATCTTGTGTTGATGGAAATATTGAGATGTACCAAGTCTGAATAAAATCGGATGTTAATTTCGTGTTTTAAGAGCTTCATAAATATTCAAAATGACCCTCTGTGGGTGAGGTGCCAGAAGGTGTGGACCGATGTATTCCATTTTCACAGCAGATCTTTTGTTTGTAGAAATATTGAGATATATGAAATATGAAAAGGTCCGGATGCTTATTTCGGATTTTATAATAGTTTTGGTTATTCAAAATTTGGACCCTTTGTGGGGGAGGTACCCAAAAAAGAGTGGTCCATATATATTTCATCTTCACACCAGACCTGGGGTTAAAAAAAAATATTATGATGTGTGAAAACAATCGGACTCTTACATCACATTTTACAAAATTTATAAATATTCAGAATGTTGACCCTTTGTGGGAGAGGTACTTGCGGGAGTGGACTGATATTGTCCATTTTCGGATCTGACTTAGCACTGATGCAAATATTAGGATTTGCGAAGTTGGAGTAAAATCGTTTTTTTTTTTTTTTTTTTTTTTTTTTTTTTGAAAATTTCGACCTTTTGTGGGTGAGGTATCAGAAGGAGTGGACCAATATTGCCCATCTCCGAACTCGATCTAAATTTGATAATAATATTACGATGTATGGAGATTGGATGAAATCACACTGCCTTCGAGAGGTATTGTGCGCACATCCAGCTAAACAGACGGACATCGCTAGATCGACTCCAAGTGTCCTGAAACAGATTTGGTCCAAAAAGACTTAGGGTCTAAACCCGTTTTTTTCGATGAGGCAGGTTTTGGCGGTATCAAATGACATATATCTTCTCTAGGCATATAGCTGAGAGTATAAGCACATATAAAGTTTCTGTCGGTGTCCCGATAGGTATATACACTCAGCTTTTGACCACTCTTTTATGTGCGCTCCTTTATGGAGGACATACCAAACTTTATATTAAATCTAATATTAGTATAAAAATAAAAAGTTTGAAGAGAACTGGGGAATAATTTCGCATTTTATGAGGGTTAAAAATATTGACAATTTTTGTGAGAAAAAAGGTTGCAGAAATTCTGACATTGATATCCCACTTCAAAGAAGTTATTATTCAAAATTCAGTTGTGTTTGCAATATTTTCCATTTCCAATCTGAACTATATTGGAGACTATGGAGTTTTGAGATTTTTTTCGCAAAAAGTTCAACTTTTATGAGGGAGTTTCTAGGAGTTGGCGGATATTGCCCATTTCATAACTCGATCAAAGTTTGGTTAAAATTTTACGATAACCCAAGTTTCGACCAAATAGAATAGACAGAAAAATGGAGGGACGGGCATGGTTAGTTCGACTACAAATGATGGATTTCGTGCAAAGAGATCTAGGATCTATACCCTTGCGTTTTTCAATGAGGAACATTTTGCCCGATAAAGATATAGGGTATATATCATTTATTGGGAAAAATGTAGCCATGAGGCTGAGGGATAATTCTGATTGCTACATTTCTGAATCCTATTCGAATTAATTTTTACTTTCTTCAGGATATTTGCTGTGTCATCCTAGCGGAAATATTTGCAAGTTATATAAAAAAATTTGACCCATTATTCAGAAATTTTATTAAATGTGGAAAAGGGTAAATTGTTCTCCAAATATAGTGAATTACACGCTTAACTTTATCACAGTGATATTTTGTCATAGATTATACTAAAAATTTACATTTTAACGACCACCCTCGGTACAGGAAAAAACCCCCCAAAACTAACAACAATAATAACCAAACGGAAGTGCAAATACAAAGTGGATAAAAATCAGAAAAAATATCAAAGCAGGAAATCTAAAATAAAAATACCAACCAAAAAGCAGATATGGTAGCGGGGAGAAGAGTTAAGGGAGAGGAGAGTAAAGACAGTAAATCTAAAACCAAATACAACAAATTGAGGACACGGAAACATGCGACATTTACTATACTCCTTGTTTCAATGTATTTGTATAAATACATGTATGTGTGTGAGACCCATACACATACATGTGTTTGTGTGGGTGCATCTATAAATGTATAAAGAGATGTGGCAAATAAATAATAAAAACATTTGAAAACTAAACAAAAAAAAAGGGAAAAAACCCATAACAACTTTAAACAAATAGTTTTGCAGAGTGGAAGTTGCCAGCATAACTGGAAACGGAAAACCCAGGACTTAGGTAAGGGGGGTTTCTATGTATGCACTTCGCCAGGGTGACGATGATGATAATAGTTAAGTTCTATGGGGGCGCCCCCCAATTGGGATTGTATTTCTATGAGAATAACACAATATGTGTTCGGCAAAACAAAAACAACTAAAAAATTAAATATAAAAATGGATAGACATTTTCGTTTTGGGTGCAAAAAAAAAAAAAAACTCAAAATCAAAATAGACCAAATAATAGCAACAAATCAATATAGGCTTGGCAAGAGATAGCTAGGACTAAACCAAACTAAAGAGAAGAGAGGGAGAGCCGATAGAATAAAATCTCTATATGGGGGAGGGAGCGATGGAATATATTAATAGGCTTAGTAGCAAAACATGGCTGGGCTAGCAGCAACAGAGCACTAAGGTCGGAGTGTGGTGGGGTTATGGGAAATCTGCAAAATTTGTACTGGGTATTTGGCTGGAAAAACTAAAAACAAACTAAATTTCAATTTAACATGCAATTTCAAATTGTAGTTTTTCCATTTCACCAAATTTCATTTCAGGTGAAATGAGTAGAGCAAGGCCGGGCAGGGGAGGAATATTTCATTTTAGGTGGGCTTACAAAGTGGGATTTGGTATTTACATACAGAGGTTTAGAGGAAATAAAAGTGGGGATTTTTTGTTTATCATTTCCACATCAAGGGAAAAATTCAATTCAATTTTAAAGTGTTTAGTTGTTGTTGTGAAATATATATATAATAATACAAAAAAAAAACAACTAAAAAATATTTGTGTATATAAAAAACAAAATTCATAGACAAAGAACACGACGAAGAGCAAAAAAATATTTAGTTTTTTTTTTTAAGTAAATTGCTTTGTATTTGTAGTTGTTGGTTTTTTTCAATGATTTATTGTAAAGGAAAATATATATGTATTATGAAATAGATATATATAGTTTTGAATACATATATATATATTAAAAGGAGACAACTGATAGCAAATGTATACGAATATTTAGTTATATAGTTATTATTCATATACATACATATATTTATATATAAATATTGAGAAGGAGAAAAAAAGTTACAACAAAAGTGAAGTATACGGAGAAAAAAGAGAAATGTGATAACTAGTGTAATGGAAACAAAACTGACACTTACCGATTCATGAGAGGTTCGATAATCGATTTCACCGCCTAAAATTCCACTGGCCGAGGCGGAACGTGGCTGTAGATGGCGACTGTTGCTGTTGTCATCTTCACTGCAATCGATTTCCTTTTTGAGAGACTAAAACATAAAAAGAGGAAATAAGGAATGTTAATGGGGTGGGTTTATGACATATTAGCGGTGGGGTGGATAATTCGGATTCGGAGGCTGGATAAAGTGCATAAGGATTTTCTAATGTATAGATATGGGATTTGACATTTTATGTTATTTGTATAACGTTGTTACATTGCATGGCGAGGCTCTGACATTATCAGGCATTACCCATGACTGGATAAATGTTTACATTATCCGGATAGGATGGCTATTATTTTGAAATTATCCGGACAATCGGATAATTCAGATAACGCTCAAAAGTTATCTGGAATTCGTGGATAATGTTTTGATTTTATCCGGATACGTGGATTTATCTTGACTTTATCCGAAAAACAAAGATAATGTTCAAAGGTTGTCTAGACTACGTGGATATGTTTTGACTTTAACCGGGTGCGTGGATAAAGTTTTGACTTCATCCGGATAACACAGGTAATGTTCCAAGGTTATCTAAACTTCGCGGATAACGTTTTGACTTTGTCCAGTTAACATGGGCAATGTTCAAAGGTTATCCAGACTACATGCATAATGTTTTGACTTCAATCGGATAATTCAGATAACGCTCAAAAGTTATCTGGAATTCGTGGATAATGTTTTGATTTTATCCGGATACGTGGATTTATCTTGACTTTATCCGAAAAACAAAGATAATGTTCAAAGGTTGTCTAGACTACGTGGATATGTTTTGACTTTAACCGGGTGCGTGGATAAAGTTTTGACTTCATCCGGATAACACAGGTAATGTTCAAAGGTTATCTAGACTTCGAGGATAATGTTTTGACTTTATCCAGATAACATGGGCAATATTCAAAGGTTATCCAGACTACGTGGATAATGTTTTGACTTTATCCGGATAATATAGATAATGTTCAAAGGTCATCCAGACTATGTAGATAATGTTTTGACTTTATCCGGATGCGTGGATAATGTCTTGACTTTATCCGGATAACATAGATAATGGTCAAAGTTTATCTAGTCTTCGTGGATAATGTTTTGACTTTATCCGGATAACGTGGATAATGTATCGACTTTATCCGGATAACACGGATAATGTTCCACGGTTATCCAGACTTCGTGGATAATGTTTTGACTTTGTCAAGATAGCATGAATAAGGTTTTGACTTTATCCGGATAACAATGATAATGTTCATAGGTTATCTAGACTACGTGGATAATTTTTTGATTTTATCCGGATACGTGGATAATGTTTTGACTTTATCCGGATAACATATATAATGTCCAAAGGTTATCCAGACTACCTGTGTAATGTTTTGATTTTATCCAGATGCTTGGATAACATTTTGACTTTATATGGATAACACAGATAATGTTAAAAGGTTGTCTAGACTACGTGGATAATGTTTTGACCTTATCCGGATTACACAGATATTGTAAAAGGTTATGTAGACTTCGCGGATAATGTTTTGACTTTATCCGGATAACACAGATAATGTTCAAACGTTATCCAGACAACGTAGATAATGTTTTGATTTCATCCGGATAACACACAGATAATGATCCGGATACGTGGATAAAGTTTTGACTTTATCCGGATAACACAGATAATGTTTCAAGGTTATCTAAACTTCACGGATAACGTTTTGCCTTTATCCAGATAACTTGGGTAACGTTCAAAAGTTATCCAGACAATGTGGATAATGTTTTGACTTTATGTGCATAACATGGATAATGTTTTGACTTTACCCGGATAACACAGATCCAGGTTATCCAGACTTCGTGGATAATGTTTTGACTTTATCCAGATAACATGGGTAATGTTTAAAGGTTATCCAGACTACGTGGATAATGTTTTGACTTTATCCGGATACGTAGATAAATGTTTGAATTTATCGTTGATATTTCTATTTTATCCAAATAACACGGCTAATGTTCATCGCACTTACCAAGGGTACCGACTGCACGGGACCCAAACCCGACGGTCCGGCAAGTGTATCACTGACCAATCCCAAAGCAGCTGCCGTCGATGAACTGGGACTTAGACCGCCGGCTAGCGAGGTGCCCGATGTCGAGGGTAAACCGCTCAGACCACCCCTACTACTGGGGCGATCCAACCCGGAACCATCTCGGGAACTACGCGATGCTGGACGTTGTGAATGTGAGTCTAAGGCCAGTGCAGCACTACCGGTTAGGGGTGTAGAACGTGCCGAATCGACACCGCCACCACCACCACCACCACCATCGCCGTGATCACGATCTCGTTCACGACTGCCACCGAGCGAACAAAGCCCACTCTCCAGACCTGCACGCAAATTGGGACTAACTAGTGCCGCAGCCAAGCTACTGCTGCCTATTTTCATATTCAGCCCCCCAATATCTTCGGAGCTGTTATCACCGTCATCGTCTAAATCCATTTCTTCGTCACCATAGTCGACATCTTCAATGTCTTCGATCTTTTCGACACCAGTGTCTTCCAGGTCGCCCCGACCCAGGCCACGTTGAACATCACTCAAACGTTCCGGTGACTCAAGACCTGCTGTTTCACGATCACTGTCGCGTTCATGTTTCAGTGTTGGGTCATCGCCTTCGTGTGTTTGGTGCCTTGTCGACATGGTCCCACTAGCCGAACTCTGGGGTGTTGTACTTCGTGTCTTTTCATTGGAGGTTGTCGTCGACACGGTTGTGGCTGTAAAGCCGGACGCCGAGGTTGCATTATTGTTGTTCGCAAGGGAGTTCTCCTTGCTGTCTTCCAGTTGCTGTTCCAAACGTCTTTGATAGAGATCTAGGGGTTGGGGTGAACCACGATGCTGTGGTTCTTGTATTGAGGCTGCCGACTTGACATGGATACGCTTTGGAGGTGAGGGGCTACAACGTTCTGTTGCTGCTGCTGCTGCTGCTGTTGTTGTTGACTGCTGGTCGTGGCTGGTGCTGCGTTTCGAACTCAGCGAAGTGGCAACGGCAGCCGAAGTTGTGCTGGTGGCATTTGTTGTTGTGGCAGATGTTGTTGGTGTTGTTGCTGCGGTTGCTATTGATGGTGCTGCGCTTGCGGCGGACGCTGAGGCGGCCGATGATGAGGCGACAATATTGGACGTGGATGTGGAGGCTCCCGATAGGGTGGCATCGACAGGACTGTCACATGAGCTACTACTTTTGCAGGGCTGTGAATGAGGTCGTAGACGTTCAGGTTCACGTTCTGGTTCGCGTAGGGTTGTGTTCTGATTTGTCATTTCTGCTAGACCCTTGACCTGCAATGAGAGACAGAGAGCAAAATAAGGATTCAAATCACTTCTCTTTGCCATTTATGTGGTGTGGGCCTACCTTCAAAGACTCCGCCGTTTTCAGCAGTGCCGATAACTGACAATATTGCACGTTTACTTCGCCTTTATACATGAATTCAACTAGGGTTTGTAGTTCGGCAAAACGGACGTCCTTTAATATCACAATGGGATGTTTTTCGGGGTGGTCCAGAAATAGGCTCTGGAAATACGATGAACAGGCCGAGAGGACCACCTGCAAAGGGAACAAAAAAAAAAGAAAGATACAAATTAGACATTTTGAATAACAAATAACAATCACAACCAATAATTTGCCAGTAATGACAGTCTATTAACATTCGTTTGGACAGACTAACAGCCAGATGGACCCAACCGCTGGACATTAGACAAAAAATATCAACACTGCAATTCTAATAATTTACTTGGGTAAATAATATGAGATTAACCATAAGATTTATGCTTTCCAGCCCAAGGCCAAAAAGGCTGGCACCAGATGATAGAAAGTTCGTTTACGTTGTTGTAAATGTGTTGCAGCAAAACCCCCCAACTTCTGACTGACCATAGTTCTCAGTTCTCAGTTTATGTGGAAGACATTCACATCGCTCACGAGTCGAAATAAAAAATTAATAGCAATTTTTCATTGGCAGTAATTGTTTGGCTAAATCAACACTTTGCGCCTGAACACAACAACCTAATGTTGGTCATAAATGTTGTACCATGTGGGTCTGACGAAACAACATTTTGGTATGATTGACATTGGAGGTTTAAAGACTTACGACTTTGGAATTTTCGTAAGAAATTTGAAGAATGTTCCAAGGCTAGCCAGGCTACTTGGATAATGTTTTGACTTTATCCAGATAACACAGATAATGTTCAAAGGTTATCTAGACTTCGTGGATAACTTTTAGACTTTATTCGGATAACACATATAATGTTCGAAAGCATCCAGGCTACGTGGATATGTTTTGACTTTATTCGAATACGTGGATAAAGTTTTGACTTTAACCGGATAACACAGATAATGTTCGAAGGTTATCCAGACTTCGTTGATAATGTGTTGACTTTATCCGAATAACACAGATAATGTTCAAATGTTATCCAGACTACGCGGATAATGATTTGACTTTATCTGGATAATATGGATAATGTTTTGACTTTATCCGGATAACACAGATAACGTTCCAAGGTTATCCAGACTTCATGGATAATATTTTGACATTATCCGGGTAATTTTGTAGTGTTCAAAGGTTATCCAGACTGCGTGGATAATGTTTTGACTTTATCCTTTTATCCATGGATAATGGTTTGACGGATAACACAGAGAATGTTCGAAGGTTATCCAGACTTCGTTTACAATGTTTTGACTTTATCCGAATAAAACAGATAACGTTCAAAGGTTATCCAGACTACGCGGATAATGTTTTGACTTTACCTGGATAATATGGATAATGTTTTGACTTTATCCGGATAACACAGATAAAGTTCCAAGGATATCCAGACTTCGTGTATAATGTTTTGACTTTATCCAGATAACACGGATAATGTTCCAAGGTTATCTAAACTTCGTGGATAATGTTTTGACTTTATCCAGATAACTAGGGTAATGTCTAAAGATTATCCAGACTACGTGGATAATGTTTTGACTTTATTTGGATAACATGGATAATGTTTTGACTTTATCCGGATAGCACAGTTAATGCTCTAAGGTTATCCAAACAACGTGGGTAATGTTTTGACTTTATCCGGATACGTGGATAAAGTTATGACTTCATCTGGATAACGCTAATAATGTTCAAAGTTTAGCCAAACTTCGTGGATGATGTTTTGACTTTATTCAGATAACAGGGATAATTTTCAACGGTATCCGACTACGTGGAGAACCTTTTGTCATTATCCAGGTAAGAGGATAATTTGTTGTCTTTATCCGGATAACATGGATAATGGACTAGGATTCCTTTTTTTCTATAGAAAAAATCCTTCGAAGCCAAGCTTCGATCATCTTTTTTTTTATAGAAATTCTCAGTAACTGAGGATCGATTTTTTCTGCAGAAATAACTTCAGTAATTGATATTCGATTTTTTTTCGGTAGAAAAAGATCCTCAGTATCTGAGCTTCGACTTTTTTTCTATAGAAAAAAATCCTCAGTATCTGAGCTTCGATTTTTTCTATAGAAAAAAAATCTCCGAATCATAGGTTCAATTTTTTCTATGGAAAAAATCCGTTGAAACTGAGGTTCAATTTTGTTCTATAGCAAAAAAAATTCCTCCGAATCTGAGGTTCAATTTTTTTATAGAAAAAAAAATCCTCCGAATCTGAGGTTCGATTTTTTTTTCTATAGAAAAAAATTCCTCCGAATCTGAATTTCGATTTTTTTTTCTATAGAAAAAAATTCCTCCGAATCTGAAATTCGATTTTTTTTCTATAGAAAAAAATCCTCCGAAGCTGAGGTTCGATTTTTTTCTATAGAAAAAAAAAAAAGAATCGAACCTCAGTTTCGGAGCATTTTTTTTCTATAGAAAAAAAAAAGAATCGAACCTCAGTTTCGGAGCATTTTTTTATAGAAAAAAAAGAATCGAACCTCAGTTTCGGAGCTTTTTTTTCTATAGAAAAAAAAAAGAATCGAACCTCAGTTTCGGAGCTTTTTTTTCTATAGAAAAAAAAAAGAATCGAACCTCAGTTTCGGAGCATTTTTTTTCTATAGACAAAAAAGAATCGAACCTCAGTTTCGGAGCATTTTTTTTCTATAGAAAAAAAAAAAGAATCGAACCTCAGTTTCGGAGCATTTTTTTTCTATAGAAAAAAAAAGAATCGAACCTCAGTTTCGGAGCATTTTTTTATAGAAAAAAAAATCGTCCGAAATTGGGGTTCCATTTTTTTTCTATATAGAAAAATGCTTCGAAGCTGAGGTTCGATTTTTTCTATAGAAAAAAAATGCTTCGAAGCTGAGGTTCGATTTTTTCTATAAAAAAAATTCCTCAGTAGCTGAGGTTCGATTTTTTTCTATAGGAAAAAAATCCTCAGTAGCTGAGGTTCGATTTTTTTCTATAGAAAAAAATGCTTCGAAGCTGAGGTTCGTTTTTTTTTCTATAGGAAAAAAAATTCCTCAGTAGCTAAGGTTCGATTTTTTTTTCTATAGGAAAAAAAATTCCTCAGTAGCTCAGGTTCGATTTTTTTCTATAGGAAAAAAAATTCCTCAGTAGCTAAGGTTCGATTTTTTTCTATAGGAAAAAAATTCCTCAGTAGCTGAGGTTCGATTTTTTTCTATAGAAAAAAATTCCTCAGAAAAAAAAAATTCTCCGAAATTTTGGATCATTTTTTTTTCTATAGAAAAAAAAATCCTCCGGAGTTGAGCTTCTATTTTTTTTCCTTAGAAAATAATCTCGTTTCCTAAAATTTCTATCACGCCATTCCAATTTCTTTGTTTCAATATTTATTTCTCTCAGATGGAGCCCATACATAACATAAATATGTATGCATCAGTCAATGTAAAAATTATGGCAAAAATTAAGGAGTGTTTGTGGTGAAATATTTTATGATATGCCAAAGAAAAAAAAAAAACAACAACAACAACAAAATTATTAGATTTACGATTTGCCTACAAAGTGTAACACCAACCAATCCGATGAACTGCAAAAGCTGAAAATTGAAAATGAAGAATTGAAGTGAGTCGAACACAGCTAACAAACAATGCAGCAGCAGCAATTGGCCGACCTCGTCCATTGCTTGTCGTCAACTTTGGCGGTAACATGTAATCATCGCCATTGTAGAACCATCATCGAAGTCAGCATAGCAGTGGTGGAATGTTGGAAGTGAACTAGTGGACGGACGGACAGACGAACGGACCACTAATATAAGTGATGGTGGATTTTAAGGTTGGTTAGGTGAAGGCAAACCGAAAAAGAATACCAAACGCCCAAGGCATGCGAGGGCGTTGACAGTTTTTTCGTTGTTTGGACACTGAGGAGAACACACAAAAGAGAAAAAACAACAACAACACAAACAACTATCTAAATTCATAGATTTAAAGAAAATCTAAGCGGCAAGTGTTGGCAGCCGCTATGATCTAGATGCTTTGGCTTTTCCTTTGGCTAAGCCTCGCAAAAAAAGTGAGGTGTTGGTGTTGCACCAATTTTTACACATTTCTTCGTTCGAAATATGTGACATAGCAGCCGCAGCAAAATGTTATCAATATGCCATTGTATCCAACATCCACTTGTGGACCTTGTGGCCATTATGTGGAAAATGCTTGCAGACCGCCTATTGTGCGTTGCCTGAAAACGTGGCCAGAGATGAGACAACATAATTCCCTTTAGAGGTTGAATTTTAAAGTGAGCATTACCTAACAGAATAGGCCTTGGCAGACAGCGAAACATTCAAAGACAAAAGTGAAGCATGATCTAAAAAATTTATATTTAAAATCCCATACGCATGCGCAAATACTCGCTGCTCTTTGCATTCATAGCGCCTAAGGTTATGCAATGATATGTGGCACTGCCAACGCTGCCATATTTCTTGATACCACATGCAACACATGTAGGCTCTGTGTAAACTTGTTTCCTCTTTGCAGCACATTTCGTTAATCGTGAGTATTTTTTCTGGGCTGTACTGAAATCACGATTTTATTCTGGCCTTTCTTGGCATTTGTTGTTAATTTCTCCTGCAGCCTTTGTATTCGAATATTTTATGCCAACTCTGGCCAGGGCGAGGGCGTTATACATATAACCATATTTCCAATAATGCGTGCGGTGATTTTTCATGGTTTAGCTTTAAGCTTTGAGGTTTGGTTGGTTGGTAGTTAGGTAGGTAGGAGTGGTGGTAATTGTGGTAGTTTTCTATTTTTCAAACTTCGTATTTACTTCCCAATCGTTGCTCGTAATAAATATTTTCTATGGCGTTTGAAAATTGATTTTGTAACGCTTCATAAATTGAGAGAAAGATATTTGACCATTTCAATATAAAGTAAAAAAAGAGAGGATATAAGTAGAGCGCAGAAGATAAGGTGGATTTTTGAAAGGTAACTTATGAATGAGGAAATTTAAAGTTTCGAAGATGCTAATTGTCCTTTAAAACGAGTTAAAAAGTATCAGTATCCGGTTTTGCCCACAGATGTATGGCCTCAGGCAATGTTCGATTTTATATATATATTTTGACTTCTGTTATGATTATTCAAACGACTGACCCCCTATGGAGTAGGTTCCGAAGCAATGGGCCAATATTGTCCTATACGTATCTGAC